CGATCGATAATCGCGGGCGTTTGGCACGACTCTGTTCTTTCACAAATTCTATGAGCTTGTCGTATTGTTGTTCCCGTGCGACGTACTCTTCTCTAGTATTCGCTTGCTCTATCAAATCGTGCTCTATGTTATCGCTTGCGTTGACTAATTACGCATTTAAATCTTCTCATTTTATAACATTTATTTGGTCACGTGACATTTGTATCACATTACATTGATGATGTCACCGCTCAAACATGTTGTAACATGTCGTATCATGTCGAATGTTCGTGAAAAATCTGGTCACGAGACACTATTTAGTAACATCGCATTTATGTCAAATCGCATTGATGACGTCACCGCAAGACATGCGACATGTTGTGACTTGTCGCAGCATGTCCTTGAAAAATCTTTGATTACGCTATTTAATAAAGTTGTCGACGCTTGCAAACGTCGCATTTTTATTGTATTAAATAATATTAATAATATCATCGCGAAACGCGATAAATAACAAATACGATGCGGCAAACACCTAACGTAAAATTTATGATAAAAATTCAAATATTGAATGTGAATTATTAGTTACACTATGGATAATAATATTAGGTGTAGTAAAAAGAAATCTATTATTTTTCCAATAGATGGCTTTAGTATTTCGCGTTGTATAAGTGCGATCAAGTTACGCCAAATGGCGTTAGAAAGATAAGATTTCGTACTAAAAAAACTTCTGAGACAGTTTTGTGATTGCTTGAGTCAGTATTGTTTGAGCGCCTGTCAAAGATGGACACCAACAAAGAGAAAATACCATATTTTACAGTTTTTCTTCGATAAAGGCGAAAACACAAGCCAGGCGGCTGAAAATGTGAATAGTGTTTATGGTCCTGATACTGTAACAGTCAATATCGCGCAATTTTGGTTTCGTCGATTCCGTTCCGGTAATTTTGATGTCAAAGATGCACCCTCTGGAAGGCCAATTGTCGAAAATGTCGATAAAATAATGGAAATCGTCGAGTCCGACCGTCATGTAAGCACTGTTTCGATT